TATTGAGCACCTTGAGCGTTTGACCCTGTCCGAAGGATGTATGATCCGGGAAACTGGGTACCGGTTTTCCCACATCCCCCCACTCACTACCTTACGGGTCAGGCTTTGATTAGCCGAAGGCTCCGGTTGTGGATTCCCCAATGAAACTCACTTGCATTGGCCTGACTACCTTCCAGTATTTGCCTAAATGCATGGAACCTTTTTCTTCTTATGAAGATTACTGTACCATGATTTGTTTGTCACAGTCTGGCCTCAGATATATATACATATATATCAACTGGCGAAGACGACTTTGCTCAGTTGTGAGACAAAGGAAAATGTAAGCAAGATTGCTGTCCGAGGCACCTACATCCGGTACGCACGAGTAAAGGTTCCGTTGGGATAGGTATTAGAGGGTTAGGTTAATGTGTAGATCGTGCATTGAGCCGAGCTACTGTACCGAATACAAAATGTCGATGAGTAAAGTGAACTACTCAGTAATGACTGAATACTCCATGATCATCGTTGATCTGGGTTGTGGTGTGTTGTACTGCTACTGTTGTTGAGTGCTACTCACACTTGTGAGTAGTTTGCCCGCATCAAAAAGCGGTTATTTGATTTCCAGGGGATTCGTGAATGGATTGAAGGATTTACTTTTGTAGCTACGGGAAATTCACACTCACTGTCGGGCGGGCCGTTCCGGTAATTATTCATTGTGCTTGTGAGAATTCCGAAGAATTGCTTCAAATGAAACATTTTGTTGTATGCCAATTTATCGATACCCTAACCGTTATTCGCAGTCCATAACTTTCCTCGTCCATGCACCGCCTTGTGAATTTGTAACACTACCACCACCACCAGATTAGGTTCTCGTAATTGACAATGCGCCTCTATCTTCCACACGTTGACTTAGGCGAGCAGACGGCCGGTTACACACTTTCACGTCTCTTTTGGAGTATCTTTTCAGATCAGTTTATCAGGACCAGAGGCGAGTCACAATCCTATTTACTGACGGGTCACATGCACTTTGTCACCGTACTCTCTCTCCAGGTCTGCGTGGTGTTTTAGTGCTCAAAAGCCTTGTCAAGTGTAAAATTCACTCATCCTCGAGTACGGTCGCTGATTATCCGCAATTGTGAGCATATGCTCCCCTTATTCCCTGTTAACCTCGAAATGGCTCGCTAGTCGGCAATAGGCAATCAACTCGGTGGAATCCAGATCTACTCTGCTAATATACATCGGATTCACATTCTATTTGATTGTGAGATAGAATGTGATCAGTTCATTGGCATGACCGACGTCAGATATGTGTTGCGGTTGATTTGTGTGCATTCTTTGTGTCCGCACGCACACACACACACACGGGGAGAGATTTTCTAATCATCCGATCTGCAAAACCAGTTCGCATTGCACGAGTCTGGTGAGGTAACCGGACGGGCAACGCTGAGGTTAGGCGTAGAGTTTTGGGTCACCCACTGGAGCAAGTGGTCTACCTCCATAGAATACGTTGGTTGGGACATGTGTTACTCATGCCACCAAATAGGTTACCACGGCGAACGATGTTTGCCGAAGCAGGTAATGGGTGGAATAAAGCCCAGTGTGGTCAATCTAAAACCTGGCATGAGGGTATGAAAACCCTAACCAGGGGACTGGATCACATAGGTCTCGTTAGGCTCCCTGGCTGGGGACCCCGAGATCACGATCACCAATGGTTAGAGACACTAAGCGATATGGCTGGGTGTCGCAAACAGTAGGATCCATGTATCTACTCATTATTCTCCTGACACCAGTCTGTATGAATTCTCTATCTTCCACTTGAATTTGTTTTCAGTATTCCAATCTTGATTCTGCTCTTTTATCCAAACAGGCCACCAAAACCGGCGCACGAAAGTGCATGGTTAATAGTCGTAAAAACTAAACTAAACTTCTGTCATATAATTTAACTTAGGTTATCATCGTTTGCCCTGTGTGAGTGTTACACTATGAATAAGAACCTTGTCCCAAGGTCGCAACTGATCTATTCTACTTGTAATGGTGCTTATTCTAGAGGTTACAGGTCAACTTTCATGGACGCAGAATACCAGTTACTTTGAGTTAAAACAGTCCTACACTGTTGGAACCTGTTACAGATGTCACTGTGTCTCAATTCTCGGAATCTGTATTAAGTTTCCCACTGAAAGCCCTGAGTCGAGATGTGATTGAATAGTGAACAATGAAGGTACTAGATATTGCTAGGCTAAGGGGGTAAAGACGGGATTGAATGACAGAGTGCAGGGGGAAGGGAGTCATCGGAAATTTACGTAAAACCACCTTGCCGCCTCTTTGCATATGCATGCTGCATTCGGTGTAAAACGAAACAATAAGGAATAGGCCGAAGATAACATTGGCGGGTGCTCGCACTCACGTTAGTGAGCAAAACGGAGCGAAACTGACCATCGCTTTTTGTTGTGCTTGGTGCGGGATGCCATAACATCTTAACCACGTGCCTCCGGTTACCAATGCGACTGGTGAGAAACTACGATATTGCATTTTTTTACCAGAAATCATATCCGCGCGCATAGTTTCTAGTCGTCATCACTCGTGTCACGATCGGATTGTATTTTCGGCCATTTTACTCCACGAGATGTTTTCCGTATGTCACTTCAACGTACCGCTTTCCTCGGTTTGGAAATTGGCTTATTTGTTCGGTATTTATGACTAGATGATTCCGAATTTTATTGTTCTCTCTCTCTGACTCTCTGTTCTCGCCTCTAGTTCAGCGGATTCAAAAACATCATCCACCCGACCCTTCTCCCCTCCACGCATGATTTCTTCCCGCAAGCCAGTCGACTCAGATACCCCTGTCAGTGGGCTCACCACATCCTTGACCCCGACCGAGGGTGACTCATCCAAAACATTGCCGCATACAAGTCAACCGGAACGTCATCCGCTCCGGCGATACTCTTCCGTGACGGAGGCAGACAGTAAAGTTCACAAGACACCTCCAGGTGTGAGTTTTTGTCGATCTTTGGAGACAACCAATGGGGGGACCACAAACACTACGAACCTGATGCAAAACTTGTCCGAACCGAATGGCACGGCGGACACGTCCAACGCGTCCACGTTTGTCAGCGCGTTACATTCGTGGCAAGATCCGCTACAAGAATTGGCTCGACGCACACAGGCCGGTTCCAAACGGAACGCGCTGCTTCGGTGGTGCCAGTCTCGTGTGGCCGGTTATCCCGGAGTGCAGGTCACCAATTTTTCCAGTTCGTGGAACAATGGTTTGGCATTGTGCGCACTGTTGCACACCTACATGCCGTCGAAAATTCCGTGGAGAGAATTGATCAATGCGAACAATATGCCGGTGGATAAACGACGCTGTTTTGAAGTGAGCTTTCTTCCCCTACTACTTACGATTAATTGGAACACCATCTATCATGAGACTCCGAATGATCTGAAAATCTGACGGGCTTTGGTTGCCTTATTTTACGATAACACACTGTAGAAATAATCAACAATAAATGACATTCATTAGCTATGCTAAGTATATGTGAGCATATGTGAAAGGGCATCTACCTGATTGACAATAAGGCAAGAAAGCCAAACAACATTGCCCACAAATGGACTGAATATATGCACCTAATTAACCAGTTTGTGCTGATTGTAATTAGCGTTTACCGCGCCATTGTCGGTTAAACACAAAATCCTTCTATCGAATTCAACTCAGACCACGTTAAACACCATCTCCAGGATTACCTCACACCTTAAGTGCAAGTCATATGGAAGGGAGAAGTCTATTTACAATCAGACGATCACCAGCATAGCCCTGGGGGACGGGTTATATCGATCATTCGCCGGACAAGCTATCTTTTCTCCACAAAAGTTTCAACTGTTCCCGGAATGCATCATGATGTGCGTGAATCTGCTTATCGCACCCCACCCTCAACCGAGGATGCCTCAATTATCGTTCATGAATTCATCCGTGAAGCCTTATTTGAGGAAACTTTCTCTAAGATTATAAGCAGTTATGTTATCTACTGACTTGTTCATATTTGTGATCGTCCTAGCCTTCACAATAAGCAAAGATTAAACCAGTAAAACATTGGGATACTGGATGTAAGCGGAGAGCTGCTTCGAGCAGCTCGTTTTCGGTGCTTGATTCGCAAGTCAACTACAGCGCTCTCTTGTAGATCACTCGAGGACACAAGTTAGTGTGAAACAGAAAGCGATGGATAATGTTTGCGTGTTCATTCAAACTATTCTGCTCAGACCGTCTGTTTATTGTCAATGAATTCACTGCATAGACAATTGGACATCCGTTTGTGATAGGCGTCAGTTCACCCTAGCGTTTACGGCTGACCGTTGAAAATTCTCACGTTGGTACATTTTGCTGAAAAGTATATCTCGCCGTAGTTGAGAATCTGGCGATGCGGCTTTGCCCCTTCCCTCCCCCTGCGTCGTATTGTTGTTGTTGTTGTCATTTGTTTGTTTTGTAACCTGATCTCTGTTCTCATCCTCGTGTGTATGTGACAATGCTGTTTTCACACCTCTTTAGTTATTCCACACGTTTGCTTTTTTCCTTGACATTTGATCTGTGTACACTTGAACTGTTCTGGAAATCGTGTGATGAGCCGACGTATTCTATCCGTTGTCCGGTTTTGTCTCACATTGAAGAGAATATAGTTTATGAAATGCGAGTAGGGAATCGTTTTCATTTCAGACCCAAAGGCTTTGCAGTGCGTATTCTTTGCGGTATACCACATCGGAGAAGCAGTTGTGGTTTTTTTTCGAGGGGCCGAGGTAACCAAATCGGAGTGTCGAATTCACTAATCTGTCCGGCAGGCCTACGGGGTATAAAGACAACACGGTATTTTAACCGCAGCGTCACTCTGAGAATTTGTTCAACCACGCCACCTGGGGCGGTGGTAGCCTGGTGGTAACGTCACCAAATTACCACCTCGGGGGATGTGTGTTCGAACCCCACCACCACCGCCTGACTTTCCCCATGGCAGCCCTTTGATTGGCCGCTTTCCCCTTCCTGAAAATTGTATCATTGTGTATTCAATAGCAAGAAGTAAAATTAAAAAGAAAAAGAAAAGAAACTGTTCGCCAAGGCGGAGCTAATCGATGGAAGAAAGCTCAAGTTTGTCTTACGGAGTCCTAGCATTGGGATGTAAAACGTTTGTCTAGGAGACTAGCTTGTGTAGATCATCCCACGAGGCTTCCTGGCTCCGTGGTCANCACTTACGCGGGCTACTTCTACACCGTTGTTCGATCACATGAGCCGGTGAAAACAGCAGCAACCACCATAATGGCGCTCGAAATCGCATAGTTACCGGTTGCATAAACTGAAAGCATGCACATGCTATCTTTGAGTGACAAAACGTTCACAGGTCCCTCGGAATTATCGTTCGGTTGGATTTGCAGTTTTGCACAGCTTTTGTGTACTCTAACGACGCACACGTTGTGAGTAGGCACGTGACTTGTCCACTACTCTTCGTTTCTCTGTTGTCTCCGAATGTCCAACGCAAGTGTCGCGCTCAACATGTCTCCTACCAAACTGGTGATGTTGTCACACACTCATAAATAGTCATTAAAACTCTGATCGCATGGTGTTTCTGCTTATTTTCCTACCACTCTCCCCCCCCCCNGCTTTCAGTGTGGCCGAAAGTGCCGGGGTACCAACCACCTTGCAATTGCACGACATGTTGAATGCAGAACGGCCAGACTGGAATACCGTCATGTCTTATGTGACCTCCATTTATCGACACTTCGAGGTTGAGCCCACATCCGAACACACACAAACTGCGAACCTGACACATGCCGTCCCCGGAACAGTGGAATAAGTTCACCTCTCATCCGTTCAAAAACAGTCACGCACCTCTCCTTGTCCAATGGGGATTCCGATTTGGTTTTATCAAAGTTCCATGTTCTTTTTTCCTAATGGGCCCCAATGCATTCACTCTCCCGTAAACAACTCCTCTCCCCCCCTACCGATCTATTTCTCTCTGAGTGGATCGTAACGTGCGGACCATGTCTCCTCGAGCTGTCTCATTACGCACGAATGAATTCAGGTATTCCCTGGTATAAGTAGTATTGTTGATTCTACCGTTCACTCCCCATCGCTCTCGCCTCACAGACCCGTACAATCTGTGGTTTGAGCTCAAAGGTCCCGCCTTGTTTCGTTCCCCTTTTTTTCTTTTGTATTCACTTATTAGTGATGTGTGTGTGTGTGTTTGTCTGTGTAAATGCTTCGCACGCTTGGTTTTTGCCTTTCGCTTTGCCTCTGGTCTCCCTCCAACCCGCCCCTGACATCGCCCCGCAGTCCATTTGGAGAGGGTGGGGGTTGGGGGAACAAAAGTGTCAATTTCCTGCGAGCACCGGGCACTGCCTTCACTTCTTCCATCACTCATACCGCCACCACAATCTCATTCAGGCCGCAGTTCAGTTCAATAAATGAGTTTTCCGTTTTGTTATTGTCCTTGAATTTGTCTTCTTTTGTCGCTCATACTC